TGTGCTGGGATTTTAATGGGGATTGTGTTAAATCTGCATATTGCTTTTGGTAGGATTGCCATTTTTACTATGTTGATCCTACCTATCCAAGAGCATGGGAGATATTTCCATTTTCTGGTGTCTTCTTGAATTTCTTTCTTTGAAGACTCAAAGTTCTTGTGATACAGGTCTTTCACTTGTTTGGTTAGAGTTACCCCAAGGTATTTTATGTTGTTTGTGGCTATTGTAAAGGGCGATATTTCTGTGATTTCTTTCTCAGCCCTTTTGTTCTCTGTATATAGTAGGGCTACTGAATTTCTTGAGTTGATCTTGTATCCTGCCACTTTGTTGAAGGTATTCATCAGCTGTAGGAGTTCCTGGTAGAGTTTTTTGGGTCACTTATGTAAACTATCATATTATCTTCAAATAGTGATAGTTTGACCTCTTCTTTCCAATTTGTGTCCCCTTGATCTCCTTTCGTTCTAGCTAGAACTTCAAGGACAATGTTGAAAAGGTATGGAGAGAGTGGACAGCCTTGTCTTGTTCCTGATTTTAGAGGAATCGTGTTGCGTTTCTGTCCATTTAGTTTGATGTTGGCTGTTGGTTTGCTGTATATTGCTTTTATTATGTTAGGTAAGTTCCTGTTATTTTGGATCTCTCCAAGACCAAAATACCCAGGATAGTCAAAACAACTCTGTTCAACAAGGCAACATCCAGAGGCATCACCATTCCTGACTTCAAACTGTATTACAGAGCTGTAGTCCTGAAAACAGCTTGGTGTTGGCACAAAAATAGACAGATGGACCAATGGAATCCAATTGAACACCCCAACATTAACCCATACATGTATGAACACCTGATGTTTGACAAAGAAGCTGAAATTATAAAATGGAAAAAAGAAAGCATCTTCAACAAATGATGCTGGCATAACTGGAGGCTGTCATGTAGAAGAATGTGGATAGATCCATGTCTATCGCCATGCACAAAACTTAAGTCCAAATGGATCAAAGACCTCAACATAAATCCAGCCACACTGAACCTGTTAGAAGAGAAAGTGGGAGATACCCTTGAACAAATTGGTACAGGAGACAGCTTCCTGAACATAACTCCAGTAACACAGACACTAAGATTGACAATTAATAAATGGGACCTCCTGAAATTGAGAAGCTTCTGTAAGGCAAAAGACACAATCAATAAGACAAAAAGGCAACCCACAGATTGGGAAAAGATACTCACTAACCCCACATTTGACAGAGGGCTGATCTCCAAAATTTACAAAGAACTAAAGAAACAAGTGTCCAAAACACCAAAGGACCCAATTAAAAAGTGGGGCACTGAACTAAATAGAGAATTTTCAGTAGAGGAGTCTAAAATGGCTGAGAGACACTTAAGAAAGTGCTCAACATCCTTAGTCATCAGGGAAATGCAAATCAAAACAACTCTGAGATACCATCTCACTCCTGTCAGAGTGGCTAAAATCAAAAACTCCAGTGACAATTTGTGCTGGAGAGGGCGTGGAGAAAGAGGAACACTTCTACACTGCTGGTGGGAGTGCTGACTTGTACAGCCACTTTGGAAATCAGTATGGAGATTCCTCAGGAAAATGGGGATCCGTCTACCAGAAGACCCAGCAATTCCACTCTTAGGCATATACCCAAAAGATGCACATTCATAAAACAAGATTGTCTGTTCCTCTGTGTTCATAGCAGCATTATTTGTAATAGCCAGAACCTGGAAGCAACCTAGATGCCCCTCAACTGAAGAGTGGATAGAGAAAACAAAGTACATTTACACAATGGAGTACTACTCAGCAGAAAAAAACAATGGAATCTTGAAATTCGCAGGCAAATGGACAGCACTAGAAGAAACCATCCTGAGTGAGGTAATAAACATGGTATTTACTCACTCATATATGGATTTTAGACATGAATCAGGGAAGTGCCAACATACAATCCCATTGCCAGAGAGTCTGGGAAACAGAACCTTCATCCAGCGACTGATGGAAGCAGAGGCAGACTCCCACAGCTAAACACTGAACTCAACTGGAATCCAGTGTCAGAAAGGGAGAACTGATGAGCAAAGGGGGTTAAGACTGGGCTGGTTTAACAGCTGACCTGAACAAGAGGGACCTTTTGGACCCCAGACTGATGGCTGAGTGGACAGCATGGGAGTGATCCAGACCCCTTGAATGTTGTTGTCAGTGAGGAGGCCCAGATAATCTATGGGGCCTTGGGTAGTATTTATCCCATACAAATGGACTTTGGGTGCTCATCCCACATAGAGGGATGCTCTCTCCCTGGACTCTTAGGGGATGGCCTAGGCCCTGCCCTGGATGAAATGACAGACTCTGGAGATCCTCCATGGAGGGCCTCACACCCCTGGGGATCGGAGTGGAGATTGGGTGGGGTACTGGGGGGCCTGGTGGGGAGGGCAGGAGAGGATGGGAGGGAGAGAGAGCTGGGATTGACATATGAAACTAGCTCATTTCTCACTTAAATTTTAAAAAAGGAAGAAAAACACTAATACCCATTTCAAAAAAAAGTTGTAGTTTGGCGACTGGAGAGACGGCTCAGCAGGTAAAGGACCCTAGCTTGCTTCCCAGCACTCACATGGCAGCTTAACAAGTCTGTGATTCCAGCCCCAGGGAATCTGACACCCTCTTCTGGCTTACACACACACACACACACACACACACACACACACACACACACACACACACACACACACTTCATAATAACTGAAGGACAGAATTTTAAAAAAAACAACAACAAATGCTGGTGAGGCTGTGGTGGAAAAGGAGCCCTTATGCACTGTTGGTGGAAATGCAAATTCTGCCACTATGGAAATCATTATTGAGGTTTTCCATAAAACTGAATGTAGGACTTGCATATGAGCCAAGTACAGCACTTCTGGGTATAACCCAAAATACAAAAGTCAATATACAGTAGTGATACATAGCCACATATTTTCACAACTCTATTCACAATAACAACCTAAAGAACTTGTCAAAACCGGGCGTTGGTGGCACACACCTTTAATCCCAGCACTCGGGAGGCAGAGGCAGGTGGATCTCTGTGAGTTCGAGACCAGCCTGGTCTACAGAGCAAGTTCTAGGACAGCCTCCAAAGCCACACAGAGAAATCCTGTCTCAAAAAACAAAACCAAAAGTAAAAACAAAAACAAAACGAACAAATAAAAAGAACTTGTCTACATGCCCGTCCATGGATAAAGAAATGTTGTATACACACACATTGGAGTTTTATTCCCCTGTGAAGAACAAAGAAATTAAGTCCCCTGAGGTCATCATGTCAAATACAATAAACTAGATTTAAAAAGACACATATCCCTTGTGTTTTCTCTCATATGTAAAATAAAATAAAATAAAAACAACCAAACAAACCCATGAAAGTAGAAGGGAGATCATTTGGGAAGAAGGGGACCAGCAGGACAGGGATAAGAATATAAGAGGGTGAATATTTTCAAATATACTCTATATGTGCATGAAAATATCATAATTAAAGCTACAACTTATAAAATAAAACACTAGTAAAATGAAAAATATGCACAGGCATTCACACAGATAGCTGTCATAGAGACTGGGCTATGTGCTTTGTCAAGGGTCTTCTATGATGTGACTGCCATGCTTAGCATGTGCTGTGAAAAGGCAGAAATCATAGCTAATGAAATAGGAGAAATGGGCTCTTTGAGACATAGAGAGTGTGGCCTTCCTTTGTCCTGTTTCTCGTCTTTCTAGGTGACGTCTTCCTTAGCTTTGCTATTACATGTATTGTGGCTGGATTGGACCTTGTATGTATTTGATCAGATGAGAGACAGCTTCCTAAATTAATGAAGGAGACTATGTGTGATTCAGGAGGACAAATAGATGTTTTTTATCCGATCAGTGTCCGGGCAAATTCTAAAGACAAGAGATTATGCTTCCTTTTATGGCTATCAAAGAGGCTATATTAATAATAACAAGTGCATGTTTATGTTAACTCTGCTCTAGTGGCAGTCATATACATTTCCTCCAATATTTCTAATCTAAGACAGTATTTTAGTAGAGAATGAGATCCTTGTTATGCCCGAGTAGCTTTAACTATCAACCTGTGCATTTTAAATTCCAAGCAAAAGAAAACATTTCATCTTAAAAGTTCAATAAACAACTACATTTTGTTTAGCTATTGTAGTCTCAGGGAAATTTTTGATATGATTCAGTAGCTTTGATCATAGACGAAATCAATAATTTGCTCTTATCAGGAAGGCAGATGTGTCAATTCAAAACAAAATGGAAAAATATTACTGAAAACAGTCTTTCTATTTGAAAAATATCCAAAGCCGCTGCTACATTCTGTTCCAGGTGCTTACAGTGCTCAGTAATGATTAGGTATGCTTTGTCATTCCCACTGTCATAACAGATTTTTATCATTTTATTATAATTCAGAATAGGTCATTCCAAAGCCAGTCCATAAAAAACAACATGCTGCTAAACAAAGGCAATGGAGGCCGATTCAAGAATAGCCCTTTATCCTGTGAATTCAAATATTTATGCTAGGCATGGCCTTTCAAATATTTTTAATGAAAAAAATCAACATTGAATTAAACACCTATGGATTAATTTGCTTCTCATTTCTTGAACAAAACTGTATATTGCTAGATCTAGGGCATCTAATAGAAGTAATCCATCCATTCAGTGTAAAAATCATTCCCACCTATGGTAATACAAAAGGGCCACAAATACATTATGCATCTGGTTAAGAAAGCATAGTAAAGACTTACTTGTGCTCAGCTGATTTTTATTTATAGACAGAGAGCAATACTGTTGAACAACAGTTGCTTTCTGTCAGTTAGTGTTTCAAAACAATGAAGAATATTTAACATATAGGTCTTGATACCAGGCAAATAATTCCTTTTCTTCTTTTTGAAGTTTGGTGTCTGTTGGGGGTTCTTCAATTGCCAAAATTTCAAAAGATGGAGAGGAGAAGATGACCTTCTTATTCTTTGTTTCTGATTCGTCTTCTTGTGCTTCCTAGGTGGAATTACAAACAAAAATAGAGTGTTTCCGGACCCCAGTCTGACAGCTGGAGAACAAGCATAGGACCAAACCAGGGCCCCTGAACATAGGTGTCAGTTGGGAGGCCTGGGAAGTCTATGGGGCCTCTGGCAGTGGAACCAGTATGTATACCTAGTGCACAAATGGGTTTTGGGAGCCCATTCCCCATAGATGGATCCTCTCTCAGACTAGACACAAGCGAGAGGGCCTAAGTCCTTCCCTAAATCATGAGTCAGTCTTTGATGATCCCCCATGGGGGGAGGCTCACCGTCCCTGAGGAGTGGATGGGGAGAGGGGTGGGGAGTTGATGGGGGGAATGGGAGGATGGGAGGGAAAGGGAACTGGGGTTGGTATGTAAAATAAGATTTTTAAAAATTTAGATAAAAATTAATTTAAAAATTAAGTGTTTCATATTTTGATTTTACTACTTTGTATTTTTATTCTCTATCTTTACTTAGCTTCACCCTCCAAAATTTGTAGCAGAATTAGAAATATTTTCATGTATTTATTTAATATGCATGCATGTGAGAACACACAAGTGTGAAGGTTAGAGGCAACTTTTTGGGAGTTGGTTCTCTCCTTCCAACATGTGGGGTCCCGGGATCAACTCAGGTCATTAGACTTGGCAGCAAGAGCCTTACTTGCTGAGTATCTTGCCAGTCAGGCAGAATTTTTAAAAACCACCCAGTAGTGTATCAAAACATGTTCTTTTTAAGTAGCCCTTCAGTGTGGAAGCATAGAGGCAGATTTTATATCACATAGCATTTTACGGTTAAACAGAACCTCACCAGCCTATAGCTCCAGCCACTCAGGAGGTTCAAGGGAGACCATCACTTGAGCCCAGAAGGAGAGGCCATCTTGGAGAACAGAGAAAACCCCATGTGTCAAAAATGACAGAGGTAGGGATAGAGCTGAGGGTACAGTGCCTGTGAGGCGCTGTTTTCATTTTGAGCACGCACACTGGATGGCTCTCATTAGACTAGCACTCGAGAGATGTGCTGGATTCAATCTGTGGAACAAGTCTTCCTTTCCTCTTTGCCTGCTTGTGCTGATGTGGAGTCCATACATCAGGTGCTTAACAGAATAGCTACCAATACTGTGTAAGAGTCCTTTTGTAAGAAGAGTCTCAACCTTCATTTTGACTTAATGTGTCTGGGTGTTTTGTCTGCTTGTGGGTCTGTGTAACATGTGCTTGCAGTGATCTTGAGGACATAATAGAGTGCAGATCCCCTGGGACTGGAGTCCAACATAGCTGGGAAGCGCAGTGTGGGCACTGGGAATTGAACCAGAGTCCCCTGGAAGAGAAAGTCAGTACTGCTGACCACTGGGCCATCTCTCCAGGACACTTTCCCCACCTTTTTGGCCTTTTTGAAATGTTCTTGCTATACAACTCAGGTTGGCTTTGAGCTCACTAATATAATCCAGCTGGTCTTGAACTCACAATCTTCCTGCCTCTGCCTCCTCAGTTCTGGAAAGAGTGTGCTGCCATGCCTGGATGTTTAAGAATTGAAAATGCAGCTGGCTGTGGTGGCACATGCTTTTAATCTCAGTTCTCAGGAGGTAGAGGCAGGCGGAACTCTGTGAGTTTGAAACCAGCCTGGTTTATACAGAGTTCCAGGTCAGCCAGGGCTACATAGTGAAACAAGGAAGGAAGGAGGGAGGGAGGGAGGGAGGGAGGGAGGGAGGGAGGGAGGGAGGGAGGGAGGGAGGGAGGGAGGGAGGGAGGGAGGTAGGGAGGAAGCAAGGAAGGAAGGAAGGAAGGAAGGAAGGAAGGAAGGAAGGAAGGAAGGAAGGAAGGAAGGAAGGAAATAGGTGTTTCCAGAAAGTGGGTTCACACTGCCCAGGTATTGGTATGCCAAAGTTGTTTCCGCCTTGAACTTGCATCTCTTTGTGCAAATAAAATTACTCATAGGCAGTTGGAAAATTGCCCAAAATAACAAATGAGTTCACTGCTGGTTGAATTTGCAGTTACCTTGGAGGAAGCCTTTTCTTTTTTATCTGTCATGTAGGCCTTTTTCATTTGTTCAACCTTCTTTTGTGCTTGCTTGGATCGACGGCCCAGATGTTTCATCTTACCTTGCTGTTCCCAAGGCTGGTAAAAAGGACAGACAGTTGTAATGGATGGACACCTAGAAGACATTTGTGTAAGAGACAGAAAAAAATAAAAGAACACAAAATAAGATTTAAATGTGAAGTAAATTCTAAACTCTAGGACATTCTCTAGCATACTGAGAGACCTCAGTAAGTGAAGCAACACTGCATGTCAGTCTTTAGGTTAAAGTAATCATTTCTATGACTTTACATAGCATTTTTCTTTTTTCTTTTCTTGTTTTTGTTTTTCAAGACAGAGTTCCTCTGTGTGGTCTTGGCTATCATGGAACTCCTCTGTAAACCAGGCTGTCCTCAAACTCAGAGACCCAGCTGTCTTTGCCTCCTGTGAGCTGAGATTAAAAGCATGCACCACCACACCATAGCCATCTGCATTTTCCATTCTTAAACATCCAGGCATGACAGCACACTCTTTCCAGAATATAGGAGGCAGAGGCAGGAAGATCGTGAGGTCAAGGCCAGCTGGATTATATTACTGAGCTCAAAGCCAATCTGAGCAAGACCATTTCAAAAAGGCAAAAAAAGGCACAGCATTGTTCTTTACCTGATACTTGTAGAGGTGCTTATATGATGATGGCGTTGACAACTACGATGATAAAAATGGTCAAAACCTGCTATCAATCCAAAATAGACCTTCTTAGAAAAGCCTGTGTAGTGGCCACATGAATGTTTTTTTGTTTGCTTGTTTTTGTTCTGTTTGGTTTTTGACAAGGTTGTTGTCCGGGCTGGCCTCAGACTTACAGAAGTAAGCGTCCTGTCCTGAATGCTGAGATTAAAGGCACCACCACACCTAGCATGAATTTTTTTAAATACCGTAACAAATGCCAGAATTTACGTTTCATAACAGCTGAAAAAAGCAAGCTTCCTTTAAAAATTAATTTTAAGGTTAGCATACAAAGGAATGGGTTTCATGATGAAGGTATTTATTTGTGTATGCATTTGTGTGGCTCCGTGTATGTGTGCATGTTTTCACACATATGTGGGCTCACGTGTGTGTGTGTGTGTGTGTGTGTGTGTGTGTGTGTGTATGCAAGCACTGTCTGATTGTGTTGTCAAGGCCCACAGCTGATGTCAGGTGTCTTTCTCGATTGCTGTCCAGTTTTATTTATTGAGGATAACTAAATCTCTTCTGGATGCGGAGCTCACCATTTCTGGCTAGTCTGGCAGTGAGCTTGTCTGTGTCCTGAGTGCTGAGATGACAAGTGGCTACCACACCTGCCTGACTTTTGACATGGCCTCTGGGGATCTGAACTCTGGTTCTCACGCTTGTGTAGCAAGCACTTTGTCCGCTGAGCCATCTCCCCAGCCTAGTGAAGCTGTTTTATTCAATCAGGGTGGGGTTACATCATTCACCCCATTGGCTTTATTATCACCTGCCAGCACCTGTGTCATTCATTCATCCTTACAACCGTCTTTCAGAACAAGAGTCCACGTGCAGAGAAGATTAAAAGCAACCAAGAACACTGCCCCTGCTGGCCAGCACTTAACCAATGGCCATGGGACACTAGTGTGCCCAGTGGGATAACTGAGTTGCACATTGCACACTGGCTCTAACAGTCCCAGGAAGGACGAAGCTCCAGGTAGCCCCAGTGGTAACTGGCTTGCTAACACGCAGTCCGGAGTATGTTCCTTTCTGTTTTACTGCCCTACCCCCTCATAGGTCCTGGGATCACCTCCCAAATCAACTGCTCCAACTCAATTCCTGATCCCAGACTAGGACTTTATCCAAAGATGCTCTTAGGAAAATATTTTTCTTCTTCAGTTGGTTAAAAATTTGGCGAGCTGTCTGGCTCCTAAATGACTCATTCTTGGATAATCAGTAGCGTGAATCCAAATAGCAGGGAGCTCAAGGTTATATATGGCAGTGAGGAAAATGACATCATTTATTTGACCTTAGTGGTAATAGGGTTAAGTTCTATATTCAATGTTCATATGTATGAGTTAGAGAAAATCTATTCCATGATGACAGACTGTGCCTTGAGCCAGGCTATCTGTCTGGAAAGTGCACAGCGTTGACTATAAAATAAGAGAGTTAAATTACTTTGTTGGGTCAACACCTTTCATCTCCACTCCTGAGCATCCCCAGTATGTTTGCCTGCCAGTGTATTCTTTGTAGTCTAAAGGAATTCATCTCATTGCAAGTATATGTGTGGGAAAATACATATCAACAAGTCCTCTTCAGCCTTAGCACCCCTTTCTTTTTCTTAAGGAAGCCAGATTAATTTAGAAATAAAATGGGTTGGGTGATTCTTAGCAAAGGAAATGAAAAGCAATCTAATTGGAATAATAGCATTCTGTTCCTGTTGTTTCGGACCCTAATACATATATTTTGCTACAACACAGTTGTCCAAAATATGAACATGTTTGCTTGTCATTGGTAAAGAAGGGAATATTGCCACTGTAAATTATACAACTGATCCTAGGCAATGGGAGCCAGGAGAGAGGACAATTACGGCTTTCAACAGGAAGGCACAGAGCCTTTGGCTCTGTGCTGCATGGGCAGTGGGAGCTCTTTTGGTTGTATTTATGAAAACAAAAATATTAACAGTTGCACGGAGACCCCTCTCCCCCGAGAGGCACACTCACTAACCCCTGACTCACTCTACTGTGCCCCATCACTCCCTGACCTAGGATGACTCCCCCGTTGCATGGCCTCTTATGTTCTCTTGAAAGGAAGCCATGATGGCCTGAGGCTTCTCTTCCAGCAGCAGCATCTGTGTCTGCCTGTTCCAATGAAAGTGTCACCAGGGTTCTTTACCCCTGCACTGTTTGCACATTTACCAGCACAGCCTCTTGGCATCCTGAGGTGGCTGCCTGGTGGCACAAGTTATCACCTCAGTACCAACTGGCCTTTTTGTTAGTGTTCTGCTTACAAAGATGCATATATTTGGGACAATCTTCCCCAACTCAAATTTTCCCGTGTGCCTTACGGTTATCTTTAGTGGACTATGTATCAGAAAGGGAACATTTTCAGGAATGCTTTTAGTGTTGTAACCTCAAGAATAATGGGCTTTTACCTAACTTTCGAGACAATCTGTAGCTGGTGCTGACGCATCGCTTCTGTTCGTGGCTTCTGTAACAAATACTTCATTTCTTTTTGTAAACGGTTTGAGATGACTCCAGACTCTGCATAATCAACTATGTCGTACATCATCATTGTTTTGGGAATGTATCTGAGGTTTAATCTTCGCCAGTGGTTATTCTTGCCACCAGATGATGCAGGGGTCTTGTCCATAAGGCTGCAGTACTATATGGGGAAAAATGCAGAGAGCCCAGTTATTGGTGCTCATCTCTAAATTCTATTGGCATCTCCCTCCTGTGACTTTCACTCCACCTAGATGTTTCTGCTGTCTATATTCATCCTAATTCCCTTACTGGAAGGCACGACCCATGCCATGCAGCTTCAGATCACACAGCGCCACACTCACTAAACGTTTATCTAATGCACAAACACCGGCACACACTATTTTAAAAATGATGAGTTAATCTCTGGTGCTAAGTGGAGGATTTCATTATCTTTATTTGCAATATTTGTAGGAATCTGACTTTACCTTTTTTCCAATAAAAATGATATCAAGCAAGCAATTTAAAAACGCGACTTATATATTCAACTTAACATCATAAAGGATGAGGAGCTACAGTGTTAGGAGTAAGGCCTTTAGGGTCTACTACATACGCTCAAATTTTGTGTGCACCCACTTTCATGCACACAAACACACAGGTGTACCCATGTGACATCATGCAGAAGGGTCAGTTGCCACCATTTTGCTGAGTAGAATCAGTCTCTCAGCAAGAAGCAGCCGGTTCCAGTTCTCACAATATAACTGCAAACCTTTGCATAAGGCACACACTCTGCAGCTAGATCTTCAATTCACAGCCTACTTCACCAGTGATGACTGTGCAGTCATATTTAGTGACAAGTCATATCCTGGCTCTAAAAATGTCAGTGCTTGGTCACTGTGAATCCATTAATGAGTTCACATACAGACAGCAAATATGTAGTTCTGTGACCTCTTTGCATCACAATGATAAGCCCATGTGACATTTTACAGACAATGAATAATCAAAATGGGGAATTGTGAACTGGAGACATGGCTGGGCAGTTAAGAGCACACGCTGCTCGTGGAAAGGGCCTGAGGTAGGTTCCCAGCACTCATGTCAGGTGGCTCACAACCACTTGTAACTCCAGCTCCAGGGATGCAACGGCCTCTTCTGGCCTCTTTGGACATCTGCACTTGTGTGCACACAATCTTGCCCCATACATATGATTAATAAAAATAAATCTTTTTTTTCAAAGGCAGACTTGGCCAACAAAGAAACCAAATGTGGTGTCACTGGAATTGAGTCTGGAATGCAGTGAAAAGTGAGTTGTAGAAGAAACGGGTGGCTATAAAAGGTGGCAGTTTAAGAAACTGGCAATGTACAGCTAGAGGGATTTGGTGAAGGTGAACATACCCACATATGTGGCCTTGGTAAGAAGAACAAAGTGCCACTGGCAGAAAAAGCTTCACATTAGGAGAAATCTAACATACTTTGCAACATAGAAAATATGAAGGCTAAAATGTCAGCACCCGATTCAAACTTAGGAGTGTGACAAGTAACAGAGACACAGCAAAGACAGTTCGTCCCCACAGTAACTCACCTGAGAACAAGAAGGCCAGCATTCTTCCAAGGGCTCTTTTGGTAGGGGGTGGACTGAGGGCGGAACTTAGGACCGCGTGCATGCTAGACTAATTCTCTCCCCCTCAACCTTAAATTTAAAAACTTTGATAACAGTCTTGAAACGTTGGCTGTGCACTTATTCTGTACCTCAGGCAGGCTTTGAACTTGTGATCCTCCTGCATCAGTTTCCTAAACATCTAGGATTATAGGCCTGAGCCACAGATTTCAAATTATTCTTGATTATGCTTTTTCTCCCATGGCTTTTCTTTGTTCTTGCCTGTGGTGGGGAATGAACTCAAGGCACCATACCATCGAGCTACACCCCCAATCTGTTACACTCACAACTTTATTGAGATTGACAAGTCATGTACTTCACCCATTGGCTTTTCGTGTTTTCACAGCTGATTGTTTTTTAACAAAGAATTAAAACTTTCACAGCTGAGCCGGGCGTTGGTGGCGCACACCTTTAATCCCAGCACTCGGGAGGCCAGCCTGGTCAGCGAGTTCCATGACAGCCTCCAAAACGATACAGAGAAACCCGGTCTCGAAAACCAAAACCAAAAACAAAGACAAAACCAAAAACCAAAAACCAAAAAAACTTTCACAGCTGATTATTTTTTAACAAAGAAATAAAACTTTCGCTCTCAGTATATTAAATAGTACTGCACTAAATGTTTTAAGTCTTTCATTTCTATTGTAATAGTTTTTTTGAGACAAAATTTCTCTGTATCGTTTTGGAGGCTGTCTTGGAACTCACTCTGTAGACCAGGCTGGCCTCGAACTCACAGAGATCTGCCTGCCTCTGCCTCCCGAGTGCCAAGCAATTTTCTCTACTGATTGCTAAGTTTGCTTTGCATGGGGCTGGGGACATAGTTTAGGGGTAGAGTGCTTGCCTATTATGCAAGGGACCTGGGTTCAAGCTCCCGTGCTGAAAAAAAAATCAGATCCACACACATTGGAGAGCAAACAGCAAAGAGTGGTAGCATGAACCTGTAGTCCCTGCTCTTGGAATGTGGTGACTGGAAGATTAGGAGTTCAAGGTCATCCTCTGGCTATATCGCAAATTTGAGGTCAACCTGGGCTACATGAGATCTTGTGTCAAAACAATAAAAAAGTGAAATGTTTTTGTATAGTTTCAGCTCATATCACCCATTCTTTTAGTCCCATGCTACCTGCATAGTGAGCATGTCTGTTACTTTATGTCCCAGGAGTACAGTGGTACAATTAGTAAACGTCTCGAGTCTGTCACTGATCTCCTTTGCCACTCATTCACTGTGTGACGTTGGGTGAGTTTTTGGACCTCGTTAAAGCTTCATTTTTCTCATCCATAAAGAGAGTTGCAGGATTTACAAACTTGAAGATGAAAGGAAATGATATACCAGGCAATATCTTTAAAAATGCCATTCACTCACACAAATAATCTTATCTCTCTTTGCCAGTGTAAATATTTGGGGCCTTCTCTCTGTGACCCCAATCCTTGACATATTCACAACCTGTGAATGGTTGGAATCCCTAGCTTCGTTTATTTTCTGATCTAATTCCTGAGTCTCATAGCTTAAGTCTCTAAAAGAAAGAAAGCACAACCAAGAGTCTCCAAGGCCCTGAGTTAACTTCATATGTCAAAGTAAGGCACATACATTATTAGGAAGAAGCTAAGGTCACATACATTATTATTATTATTATATTAGGAATCAGAATATTGGTAATTTTTCATCAATGTTTGCCTCTTTGGATTTGTTAGTAGAAAAATGGGAAGGACTGTTACAAAAGTATTATTATTTTTTTTTCAGGTGTGCCTCGTAAGTGCTCCAATTCAGCACTGCTCTATCCAGCTATGCAAACCAGAAATCCAGGAGTCATGCCAGACATATCTTCAGTTTCTCTCCCTGTCTGTCACCAAGGCCCACTGCCTTTACTCTCTCTCCTGCATCTGAAGACATACATCCTTAAACTGAGCAATCACCATTTCCCCAGGAATATCAAGAGCCTTTGAACAGAACTCTTGTTGCTTTCTCATTCTTTCCGTATCTTGCAACTAGAGGCAACTCTTCACTCATTAGTTTCAAAAAGTTACACATTTTGTTTAGTGTGTGTGTGTGTGTGTGTGTGTGTGCGTGTGTGTGTGTGCACGTGCGCATGTGGGGAGCACTTACGTGACGTAAGAGGTTAGAAGGCATCTTAGTGGAGTTGGTTCTTTCCTTCTACCATGTAGGCCCTGGGGATCAAACTCACGATTTTGGGTTTGCTGTCTAGTATTTTTACCTGCTAGGCCATCTCGGCAGTCTCAAATTGGTAACTTTTTTCTTTAAAAAAATTTAATTTTATTTTTCTCCCTCCTGAGTATGTATGTATGCATGCTTGAGTATGTGTATGCTGTACCCACAGAGGCCAGAAGAGGGCACTGGCTCCTCTGAGGCTGGTGTTACAAGTAGTTGTGAACTGTGTGATGTGGGTGCTGGGAACTGAACTCAGGTCCTCTGAAAACACAGCAAGCACTCTTAACCTTTGAGCCATCTCTCTAACCCCACCCATGCTATTTTGTTAAATTTTTATTTTATATGCATTGGCTTGAGGGTGTCAGATCCCCTGGAACCGGAGTTATAGACAGGGAATTGAACTCTTAACCACTGAACCATATCTCTAGCCCCCAAAATGGTCAATTTTATGTTGTGTGTGTTTTATCACAACTAAAAAAAATAATGAGCTGGGCGGTGGTGGCACTCACCTTTAATCCCAGCCCTCGGGAGGCAGGTGCAGGAGGATCTCTGTGGGTTTGAGGCCAGCCTGGCCTACAGAGCGAGTTCCAAGACTGCCAAGGCTACAAAGAGAAATCCTGTTTCAAAAAAAAATAAAAATTATGATTCTTTCTTGTTAGAGAATAGGGTCAGGCAAGCCTTTTTAATATCTATATCCAAATTCCTTACTTGCATGTAATCTTGCACTGTGACAACATCCATGCGATCAGTTACTTTGAATTTCTGGAAAAGATGCTCATCTTCCATAATTTGTTGACAAAATTTCCTTTCCCCCATTATCTTGTAAGCATCAGCCACTGCCTATAAAGAAAGTCGATTTTCAAAATAATATATTTTTAATCATTGGCACACATTTTATATATATTCTGAGAAATACTGTTCCTGTCTTTTATGAACTTGCTAGTAATAGAAAGGCTACATTTACAAAAAGGAAATTTGGGGGAGGAGAGGAAGGAGAGGAAGGAGTTAAATAAGGTATTACTCTGTAGTACAGGTTGGTCAATGTAGTACAGCTCCCTCAATGCTGGCACTACAGGCATGAGCCACCATGCCCAGCTATATAGGAATTTGTTTTGAGACACAGTCTCATGTAACCCTGGGCTGGCCTTAAACTTGCTGTGTAGTCAAGGATGAACTTAAACTTCTTGCTTCCACCTCTCAAGCGCTAGGATTTTAGGGGTGGATCTCCATGTCTGGTTTATATAGGGATTTTAAAACCATTTGAAATTTGTTGCTAGAGACACTGATACGCAGTTTAAAAATAAAACTACAGGTATAGTTGAGTCTACAGTCCTCAAGGGATCATAGTTTTTAATTTTTAAAAAGATTTTAATTTGGGCCTGGAAACATGGTTCAGCACATAAGAGCACTCACATGACAGCTACCAACCATGATTACTCCCATTCCAGGGGAATCTGATGCCCTCTTCTGGCCTCTGTGGGCACTGCACACATGTGATAGGCAAACGATACACCAGCACAACGTAAAAATGTGTTTTTCAATCTTAAAAAAGATTTTATTTTTCTATTTGATTATGTGTATATGCATGTGAATTTGTTCATGTGAGCACAGTGCCCAAGGAGGCAGGAAGAGGGCACCAGATCTCCTGGAGTTGCTGTTAGTCAGCTGTAAGCTGCCTCATGTGCACACTGGGAACTGCACTGCTGTCCTCCACAGGAACAGTCTGTACTCTTAACCACTGAGCTTTCTCTCCAGCCTGGGCCACAGTTTTAAAGATATGTTTTTCTTAAAAAAAAAAAAACATTCTTTTCAGCCAGGCGTTGGTGGCACATGCCTTTAGTCCCAGCTCTTAGGAGGCAGAGGCAGGCGGATCTCTGTGAGTTCGAGGTCACTCGGTCTACAGAGAGAGTGAGCGAGTTTCAGGACAGCTAAGGCTACACAGAGAAACCCTGTCTCCAAAACAAATCGTTCTTTTCATTTAAATGAAAACAAAAGAACAACCATAATCTCGCTTGTGCTATCAGTGAAAAGAAATTCACCTGATGATTAAACAGGGTGTCTTGGGAACTAGAATAAAATGTGTTGTTGGAACTGACACTCTTTTCTGTTAGTTAACTCATAACTTCCAAACAGAAATGTAGATGTGTCGGGTTGCTTACACCTCCCTTTCCTTTAGATTTCATTCTCAGTAGCTGCAGAGAAGCAAATTAAGGATTTTTCCTTTTTTCTAAAATGTCAACAGTTTACATTCAAGGATTTTTCCTTCTTTCTAAAATGTCCGGTTTACATTCAAGGACAATGTCTGAGAGACCAGTGAGAGAGAAATCACAGAAAACAGAGGGTGAAGATTCTTTGTCTTGGCTCTAGGTATATCACACTCTCCCACGTATATCTATCCTGCTAATAGCTACACATACTGGGGGAGACTTAAATACGCCCATGCTGCCGTAAGCATGTGCTGAATCATCCAACCCCATTTATAATATGGATTGGTGCTTCCGGCCACAAAGGGTCTGCTTATGTGGAGGGAGGCTGGCAGAGAAGCAAATCCAAATCTCTCTCTATTCCAGATCAATTGTTTCCTCGGGACCCCAGAACGTGCTATTGGGAGAGTATGGAGAGAACTCTGTCAGAGCAAAAGCCCGGAGCTTCTTTTCTTTTCATGTAAAGCACAACACAATATCTTGCCTTCACATATTTTCCTCTCTAATTCTCATTTTTATTATCCAGAACAGTCCTTTTTTATTTTGTTTTGAATTCCAAAGCTTTGATGGTGCATATAGGAAAATGGAATGGGAAGAAAATAGAGACTGGGTTTCTCTTTGTAGCTCTGGCTGCCTGGAACTCACTCTGTAGACCAGGCTGGAGATCCGCCCGCCTCTGCCTCCTGAGTGTGGGATTAAAGGAGTGTGCCACCATGCCCGGCTTCACATTCTAGCTTTTCCCACAGACAAAGAGAGAATGGCGTTTGTCAAACAGTGAATGGAAGGAGGGCCACGTGAGAGAAGAACAGTGTTACCTTAGCTCAGGGGTGTTTAAGAATATGAACTTTTTTCTCTTTTTTATTTTTAAATTTAAATTTAAATTAGAAACGAGGTTGCTTCACATGTCAATTCCAGGTCCCTCTGCGTTTCCCTCCCCTCTTCCCGTGCCCTCCCCCAACCCCCAATACTCCCTCATTTCCCCAGGGAGGGTGAGGCCCTCCTTGGGGGATCTCCAGAGTCTGTCATTTCATCCAGGGCAGGGCCTAGACCCTCCCCCAAGAGTCCAGGGTGAGAGTGCATCTCTCAAGAATATGAACTTTTTTCTCAGTTCTTTCGCTGTCCAGTTCTGAGGTTTTAACTGAGTTACTTGGTCTGTCATTTATTTATTTAATATGTGATTTTATTTTTTCATTATTAGGCCTTATGGCATTTCTTTTTTTTTCTGAGACAGGGTTTCTCTGTGTTGCTTTGGAGCCTGTCCTGGAACTTGCTCTGTAGACCAGGCTGGCTTCGAACTCACAGAGATCCACTTGCCTCTGCCTCCCGAGTGCTGGGATTCTGGGATTAAAGGCGTTTACCACCAACGACCAGCGGCACTTTTATTCATATATATTTTCCTCCTATTCCCGATGGTCCCTTTCCTCTTTCCCATTAGTCTCCTTTCTACTTTCAGATTCTTCTTCTTCTTCTTCTTCTTCTTTTTTTTTTCCCTTTGGCTTTTTAGACAGGGTTTCTCTGTATTGTTTTGGAGGCTGTCCTGGAACTCGCTCTATAGACCATGCTGGTCTCAAACTTTTTTTAAAGAGTGAGGATAGACTAACAAAACATACAGACTAGTTTTTATGGGAATGAAATGAAATAATGCACATTTGAGATTACAGTTAATTGATCAAGTTGGGCCAGAGGAGCTAAGTAGACAGCTCAATTGGTAAAGTGCTTGCTGCCTAAGTGTGAGGGCTGGAGTTCTGATCACCAGTACGCATGTAAGATATATCACCGTGTCCATTGTGGCATACATCTGAAATCCCAGCGCTGTGGGACAGGGACAGGCAGATCCCTGAATCTTACTGGCTAGCCAGCTTAGTTAAATAAATTGGTGAGCCCCACGTTCAATGAGAGACTCTGTCTCAAAACTCAAGATGGAAAATGAATGGGGAAGACACTTGACGCTAACCTCCAGAGTTTGTACTCCCTCATCCCTAAGTGATCAAGCAGGACTGACAAACATAGCAAGAGTGCTTGCCTAGCATGCATGAAGCCACGAGTTTGATCCTCAGAATTTACTGTCCAAATCAGATATGGTGGGGTTCACCTGTATTAATAAGTATAGGAGTATTAATAAGGAGAATCAGATGTTCAAGTTTAGCCGCATGAGTCTGAGGCCAGCCTAATATATTTGAATCTTGACACAGTGTGGGGAAAAAGAGCAGAAGGGTGAGAGAGAGAGGGAGGGAGACAAAAAGAGAGAATAATCAATAACAAGGGTGGCTATTAATGTTTTTCTTATGTGAATAAAGTTTAAAAAGACGGATTTTTCAACATAAAATAACAGTTGCTAGATGCCAACAGTTAAGGCTCTTTAGCCTGTAAGTGTAGTAACTGGTTTATTTTTTAAATATTTACTTATTATATATGCGTGTATGCCTGCACGCCAGAAGAGGGCACCAGATCTCATTACAGGTGGTTGTGAGCCACCATGCGGTTGCTGGGAATTGAACTCAGGACCTCTCAAAGAGCAGTCTTAACCTCTGAGCCATTTCTCCAGCCCCATCATTTTTATTCTTTAATTGTGTGTGCGCACATGTGCACATGCATGCGGGTGCCCAAGGAGGCCAGCAAGGACACAAAATCCTCTGAAGCTGGAGTTACAGGTAGTTGCGAGCCACCTGATATGGGTGCTGAGAACTAAACTTGGCCTCTCTGCAAGGGTAGTGCACACTTTTGATTGCTCAGCCATCTCTCCAGCTTCAAGGCTCTGCATTTTAAAATGGTCCAGTGGATGCCAGTGTGTAAGGCTGCACATGCTTTGGGTAGCAAGGTTGTAGAAAATTCTCTGGTGGACCAACAATAATGAAAACCTCTTGTAAATTACCAATGCTGAGAAAATAGATTGTCAAAGTGGAAAATGAAACAAGAGTGCGCGCGCGACACACACACACACACACACACACACACACACACACACACACACCCCATTGTTCTATTGTTCTACAGCAGAGGTTCTCAGCCTGCAGGTTGCGGTCCTTTAGGGGCTGGTCAGAGGACCCTTTTACGGGGGTCTCCTAAGACCACTGGAAAGCATATTTACATTACATATGTATTTGTATACGATTCATAGCAGTAGCAAAATTGCAGTTATAAAGTAGAAATGAAAATAATTTTATGGTTGGTGGCCACCACAGCATGCAGAACTGAATTTAAAGGCTTGCAGCATTAGGAAGGTTGAGAACCACTGTTCTAGAACCATTTGACCTGCATTGGCACCTTTGCAGAAAATACTGATAATCTCTAGATAGATGTATTTCTATTTTTCCCCAGGGGATTCTATGTCTGTCTTAATTACAGCAGCTTTCTAAGTCTTGAAGTTGGGTAGTGTAAATTGTCCAACTTCCTTTTTTCCCCCACTTTCACTTGTTTTGCTTTTTGTTTTTGTGAATACATGAGAGATACAGCTGGAAAATGACAAGTAAATGCAAAAAGAAACGGAAATATGGTGGGGAATGATGGAGCAAAAATATGTTAAATTTCTCTTCTTTTTTTTTTTCAAGACAGGGTTTCTCTGAATTGTTTTGGAGGCTAGCCTTGAACTCACAGAGATCCACCTGCCTCTTGCTCCCTAGTGCTGGGATCAAAGGCGTGCACCACCAATGCCCGGCAATAAATTTCTGGAGAGATGTCTCAGCAGTTATGAGCACTGGATGCTCCTCCAGGGGACCTGGGCTCAATTCCCAGCACCCACCTGGAGGCTCCTGACAGTCTGGAACTGCAGTCCCAGGGCAATCCTTCTCTGGTCTTCTCAGGCACCAGGCATACATGTGGTACACAGAAGTGTAGGTAAAACATTAATACATACAAAAATAATAAAAATATTTTCAGAGATAAGTGAATAGACGTCTGAACAAACTAAAACTGGCCCACTTCTACAAAGAAATAAATGAAGGGCTGGACATCTGTTAAGAGCCCTGATGTCTCTTACAGAGTATATGGGTTTGATTCCCAGCCCTCACATAGGGGCTCACAACCATTCCTAAATCCATTTTCCAAGGGATCTTACATCTTTCTCTGTCACCAAACTCGAATGTGGCACACAGACATGCATGCAGGAAAACACCCATACGCATAATAAAATAAAAGAATAAATGAGCTGGACGGTGGTGGCACATGCCTTTAATCCCAGCACTTGGGAGGCAGAGGCAAGAGGATCTCTGTAAGTTCGAGGACAGCCTGATCTACAAAGAGAGTTCCAGGATAGCTAGGGTTGTTACCCAGAGAAAGCCTGTCTTAAAACAAACAAACAAACAAACAAACAAACAAACAAAAAGAATAAATGAATTTAGAGCTAGGGATGTAGCTCATTTGGTATGGTGCTTACCTAGTATACATGAAGCCCAGGGTTTGATCCTCACCACTGCACACCTGTGTATCTGCACACCTGTAATCCTAGCACTCTGGAGGTGGAGGCATTGCAATCAGAAGTTCAAGATGTAAGAGTCAGGTGTGGTGATGCATGTCTTTGATCCCAGAGCTCTGGAGGAAGAAGCAGGCAGATCCCTAGGAGCTCAAGGCTAGCATGGTATATGAAGTGAGTTCCAGGATAGCCAGAGCTACATAGAGAGACCCTGTCTCAAACAAACAAACAAACAAACAAAGAAACCAACAAACACCAAAAAGAAGTAAGTAAGCAGAATAGTTGGATCAATTGGCTAACAAAACTTTTATTCAAAGAGCAAAAATGTAAACTTATAATGGGAAAAATCCCACCGTTGTATGTTTTCTTTCAACCATGACTTCACATTTTAGCCAAGTTTGTTTTGAAAAGAAAGAAGGGACAAGGGCAGACCAAACTGTTCTCTTCAAGTTGGGTATGTTCTGTTCATTAAAAGACCATTACGGTGTTCACTGAAAAAGTCAGGCTGAATAGTATGATAACATCTTAATAACAAGAACAAACAGAATTATATAACCTTGTTTCATAGCGAAATGAAGGCAACATAACAAACTATTAGGGCTGATTACTCCAGGAGAGTGACAGCTGCAGCATATTAGGGACAGGCATCAAAGTGCATTTTTCTTTTTTCTTTGGCATACTTTGTAGATCTATATTAACATGGGAACTTATTTTTTAAACATATTTACAAGACATTAAAGAACATGTGTAAGTGCAAGAAAACTTTCTTCACGACGGCTTTCACTGGCGCATTTGATAGTCAAGATCTCCCTTCTGAGGTCAGGATGAAAATGGAGGTCGTAGAGCTCATCCAGACCTCCCACTAACATAGACACTTGGATGCCAAACAGGCTAATTCTGCTTTTCTACTTACATGTGAATAAACGCATGTACACACCAACTCAAATTCATACAGACTTCATGTAAGACCCCAGTCAATTCCATTTGAAGTACAGTTTATGTGATCTGAAGGGTGTCTGTGTCTGCTGCTCAGTTGACGGTATTCATACGATTCACTGTCCCAAAGACCCCAAACAACTGGCTTAGTCAGCTTCCTGCGCTCTCTTCTCCATCCACCAGTCCTCTACAAGTCCCTCTGAGGCTGGAGACAGAGTCATTTTTCATGTGGTTTTCTCATTTCCTCTCCTCAGAGGAGGAGGGTGGACGGGACCTTATGATAATGCTCAGTGGGACCCTGGGGTATGCTCCCTCAGACTGCTTCAGGGAGGGAGAGATCTTGTCAGAAGGTATTTTCTTTTCAGGAGGATGGGATGAGGAAGCTTCCAAGATCCTGGAGCTCCAGCAGTCATTCCTCAATCTAGTGAAGACCATTCGGAGGGGTTGGACTGGAACATGACTGGACAATGGATGACAGGACTCGGTGAAAGGCTGTGTGAAATTCAGGAGAGCTCTGTTGCAAGGAGGCTGTTGTTCAACACTGGTCGCTTGAGGTAACCCTTTTGATTCAACTTGACTGGTACTAGAATGTGGCACAACACGGAAAGCCTCCAACATAGGCTTCTCAGTGATCTTCTGTGGTCTCTGGTAGGTGCTTACGCGCCGCTTCTTTTGAGGATTTTGGCTCATCTGGCTGACAAGGGGGAGACTTCTTTCATGTGTTACTTTGAGGCTGAGTTTGGCATGCTGGCTATTTGGATGTGCTGCGGGGTACAGGAGGGAGTGTTTATCTTCATCAGAATGCTGGACTGGTGACTGGGTGTTTAATACATGGCCCATCTCCTGCACTTTGAAGGCAGCCTGGGGAACCTGATAGAAGCAATGCTCTGTGCTTCGGCCTGTTGCATTCCCACTGAAAGTCGGGTGCTCAGCACTGTGCCCAACTGCTGGTTTTGGCATGTTATTTTCCTCAAGATTAATGGTAATAGTAGGCTTTTCTGTGGAAGGTGCTGTATGGTACACATGTTCCCCATCAGATTTCTTGAGTGATGGCAGACTAGTTTGGGTGCACTTCAGGGATACTTTCTTGTTAATGTGGATGAACGATGGTCTGCTCGGACGCCTCAGATAGTCACCAGAATGTGTGGTATCCTTCCAACTCCGAGGCTTCTTCTCTGGGGGTTTCTTGGGAAATTTGAGCACGAGAGCCTTCCTCTGCTCCTCTAATCTCTCTCTCTCTCTTTTCTCTTTCTCTGTTTCACACACTGGCCCAGTGCTATGCAGATTCTTTGGCTTTTGTGGGTCCTGGTTCTCCTTTCCCTTCTTTATGCCCAAGGGCAGTGGTACCTTGGCACCATCCCAGGACTTGATAGGGCACTTCTTGCTTCTTATGGTGTGTCCAAAGGCCCCACAGTTTTTGCATTTCACCCTGGGATTCTCTTCTCGTAGGGGAACTCTCTGCTCCTTTGGTTTTCTCCAATTCTGTAAATTCTGGAATTCAAAGTCTTTGCTAGGGTTTACCACTTGACTCATCATTTTGGAGTCTTGACAGTCTTCCTCAGGTGTTGACTTGGGATTTCCTGAAAGCCAGCTGTCTTTCTCCTGTCTGTTAGCAGGTTCTCAGACAGGTGGGTGATGGAGACACAGCAAGGAGTGTGATGAAGCTTTCAGGATGCTGGAGGAAAGGAAAGTCACATTTTCTTTTTATATCACTGGGCTATTTCCTCCCCTCCAACATTTACTTCATAAATTAAAAAAATGAGGTTATTATACAATGTTTCAGTGAGTTTTAATGAATAAATACTGTTTTCTCCTGACTTCTTCCTTCTGAGATTCTCATTTTCTTAAGCCTAAGAATAGGGACAATGGAACAGGCCCAGGAGAATTTCAGTTCCTGGAAAAGTTCGATTATACAATCTTAGAACAGACACTATAGATGGTGTTTTATAGAAACAACCTCAGCTTATTCTGAAGATGAACATGACATGAATTTATCCCTCAACAGTAAGATGAAAATATATTTCTCATGCCGGTGGCACATGCCTTTAATCCTAGCACTCGGGAGGCAGAGACAGGAAGATCTCTGTGAGTTCCAGGTCAGCCTGGTCTACACAGTGAGTTCCAGGACATCCAGGGCTACATAGAGAAACCCTGGTTCAATAAACCAATATTTATTACTCACTCTGTAGACCAGGCTAGCCTCTAACTCAGAGATCATTCCTGCCCCTGCCTTTCCAGAATTTAAAATTTCAACGCAAAGAAAACTGAGATATTTTTTTCATAACCTCACATAAGTAAAACATTTCAAATTTGTTTTAGTGGAGACATTTTGAAACATGGTGCTTAGGAAAAAGCTTGGTGGACTGCTAATGGCCTGTATAATTGGAATGTAATTTAGATATCACATAGATATTAAGAAGAAATATTAATATAAATTAATATAAAACATCCATCATGAAACATCACCTTACTTGACGGCTTTAGTAAATCTTTCCCACTGAAATACTTGTAACCATGGCCATCATTTTTAAAAAAAATTTTGAACACGATAAAAGGTGGAAACGTTTCACCACCAAATCTGAAATAAAGATAAAAAATTAGTGATGTGACAATGATTGTGGGGCTCTATTGCTTCTTTCTTATGTACTTAGCAGAGCTAATACAGTTTTTCAAATATAGGGCATATAAAGAACATATAAAGATCTAGCAAAGAAACAGATCCAAAGGTGAAAGTCACAACTATTCTCATACTTGTGGACACAATGGGGGTGAGACCTCATGTCAAATTATAGCCAGAGTCATGCCTTAGCCTATGTAAAACCATAACAAATGTAAACAGGGAAATGCTTACCTTTTAATTTTGTCCTGAGAAATAATAAGTATAAAAGAAAGCATTTCTATTATTTCTCCTATGAGATAAATCAGCTGGTTACATTACCTGAACCTGACTTTACACTTCATGCTCGGATCTTTAACAAGTGCAGCTTCTATGGGGCTTACTTTCTTCAGCAGTTCATGCGCCACACAATATTCCTGAAATAAATGATGTCACTGTAAACAGAAAGTGGTATCCTGACACACGTCATTGACTGATTACAAGAATGGAAGCAGCCTGATGGTGGTGGTCCACACTTTTAAACCCAGCACTCAAGAGGCAGAGGCAGGCAGGTCTCTGTGAGTTCGAGGACAGCCTGATCTGTAGAGTGAGTTCTAGAACAGCCAGGACTGTTGCACAGAGAAACCCTGTCTCAGAAAACAAAACCAAACAAAGCAAAACAAAACAACAACAAAAAGAATTGAGGCATAGTGAAATGATCCGAACCCTGGGCTCAGGGTTCTAAAGAGGTGCATTTCTATTCTTTATTTTTTTTTTTTTTTGGTTTTACGAGACAGGGTTTCTCTGTATTGTTTTGGAGGCTGGGATTTCTATTTTTGACTCCTCCATTTATCATCTATGTAGCCCTTCATCTGCTATTTCAACTCAGGGGTCTCCAAGTTTGAATATCCATGTCTTTTGATATCACAGGCATTTTGCAATCCCTATGATAATACTTTCACTTAATTTATTGCATTTATCTATAGATTTATCTGTGTCTCCAACTAGATTAGAAGCATCATGAAGGTAGAGACAGCATCTTTCTTCTTTATTATATTCCTAGCATCTGATACTGTACCTGAAACACACAAGAAACTTAAAAGTGTTTATTGTTGAAAGAATCATGGTAATATGGGGATGATAATGGTATTAAGTGACTAGTTTTTAGACACCTTTTATTTACCATGTAACATGGTGGTATCATATATCTATATCTATCCTCATTTAATGCTAACAACAAGACAAGCAGAGTATTATTGCTCTCATTTTTATAAATGAGAAAGCTAGGTCTCAAACGTTAATTTGATGTATGAGGCCACTGGCAGTGGGTCCAAGACCTAAATCTAATGCACAAACTGACTTAGTGAAGCCCTTTCCATATGGAGAGACGCCTTGCCCATCCTAGAAAGAGGGGTGTGGGGGTGGGGAGGTGCCTTGGTCCTGCCTCAACAAGATGAAGGGACAGACTTAGGGAGGCCTTACCCTCTCCGAGGAGCAGATGGGAAGAGGGGGAAGTGGGAGAGCGGGAAGAGAGGAGTGAGGGGGAACTGGGATTGGAATGTAAAAAGTAAATTAATAAAGACTCAAAGAAAAAAAACTCTTAGATCTGTTCGACTCTAAAATTTCCATTCTTTTCTTTAAAAGACCCTACTCAATTCTATGCCTGTGATGATTCCATAAAATGTACAATAATAGGATTTTTAACAAGTAAAGCATTTTATTCTTTTTTGGGGGGGTGGTAGGGTTTCTCTGTGTAGCCCTGGTCATTCGGGAATTCACTCTGTAGACCAGGCTGGCCTCGAACTCAGAGATTTCCCTGCTTCTGCCTCTAGAGGCGCTGGGATTAAAGGCTTGAGCCACCACTATCGGGTTACAATAAAGCATTATTAATTTGAAGCATTGGAACAAAGACGTAAAAATAACTGATTAACTTCACCTATTTACGGAGAGCCTAAAATTATGAGGAAAGCAGTAACATGATAATTAAAAATGAGTTTTGTATGATAATACAAATACGTCTGTGAGTCAGATAGTGAAGTATACATATTTCTCAGACTTTTATTTTTCATGGCTGATAAAATTCCTCTAGTGAGACTATTCTGATAGCAGACTACTTTAAACAAGGCTTAACACTCTGCTGGAGTTTCCAGGGTTTTTTTTTTTCCTTCCTGGAAAGAGGATGGGCATCTGTTTGTTGTCTTTTATTCAAATAGGATTTTATTCCTCATATTGTTCTGAATTGTCCTTTTCACTATCAAGCTATCTTGGTTATCTTTCTATTGTAGAATCGTGTTAATATTGCAAGCTTTACCCATGATGAGAGAGATGGTTACTTGCATCTATGAACCAATGCTGCAATGAAATTGCACTGTAGAACGCACTCTTAGGAGTGAAACTGCTGGAGATGGCTCGGTGGTTAACAGCATGCACTGTTTTGGCAGAGGACCTCAGTTTGGTTCCTAGCACTCACATGGTGGCTCACAATTGCTTGTAACCTCAGTTCCAGGGGATCTTATGCTCTATTCTAATCTCTGCAGGCTCCTGCACGCACATGGTGCACATAAACTCACCCAGGCACACATACATACACATGTATAATAAATAAATAAATCCTCTCTAAAAAGAAGTGAAACTGCTGGGTAAAAGAAAAGTGCACTTTTAAATTCAGGGATTTTTTTTCTGTAGTGTTGAGGATCAAACCCAGAGCCTCAAACATGTTGAATACACATTCTACAACTGCACTACACCCCTAGTTCTTCTTTTCTGAGACAGGGTTTCTCTGTAGCTCTGGCTATCCTGGAACTTGCCCTGTAGACCAGGCTGCCCTCAAAATGGAGACCTGCTTGCCTCTGTCTCCAAAAAGAGTGCAGGGATTAAAGGTGAGTGCTACCACCAGCTGGCTTGCACCCCCATTTCTTAATTCAGAGATTTTTATTGTTAGAAGATCACTGTCTCTTATCTTCAAATAAGGACACAAATTTAAACTGAAACACAACTGCATTAATTTCAGAAAAATAGTAATACTCATTCATATTAAGACTAAAGCCAGAGGGCTGGAGAGATGGCTCAGAAGTTAAGCATACTCACTGACCTTCCAGAGGACCCAGGTTTGATTCCTAATGCCCACATTACAATTATCTTTCACTCCCCAGTCTCAGGGGATCCAATAAATAACCTCTCTGGTCTTCACAGGCATTTCATGCCACAGTGCACAGATACACTTGAAGGCATCCATACACATAAATAAAATAAAAATAAATAAATCTAAAAAACACAACAACCAGAAATATCTATTAAGATTAACAAAAGAAGCAATTTTAGAGTTTGACATTATTGTATCTAAGTTAAAGAGACAAAGAGGGTTATTTGCTCTATCTTTAATTAACAGGTCTTTTAACTAGTTAAGGAATAACATTTGTCAGAGAAAAAAATACATACCGCTGCACAAACAGTGTGTTTTAGGAGTTTAAACAATGTTTTGTCCACATAAGTGAACCAGGCTTTCTGTATTTTTGTTGCTGAAATCTCTCTATTAATTATAAGAGGAAAAAGATGTTAGCGATTTATGAAATACTTTTCATTTTCCTGAAATCTTAGAAAACTCTCAATTTATGCATCCTCTTATATTTCCCCATTACTAAGACTGACCTAATGATGGAGTAATTGGAACTAGTCTTTGTAGTCTCTAATCAGAACGAGGATATGGAATAATTAATATTTACCCTGAGATAAAAAATTCACCTAAAACTTTATCAAGTCACATACATAAAGCCAGACATGGTGGCACATTCTTTTTTTTTTTTTTTTTTTTTTTTTTTTGGTTTTTCGAGACAGGGTTTCTCTGTGGCTTTGGAGGCTGTCCTGGAACTAGCTCTTGTAGACCAGGCTGGCCTCGAACTCACAGAGATCTGCCTGCCTCTGCCTCCCAAGTGCTGGGATTAAAGGCGTGTGCCACCAATGCCTGGCTATGGTGGCACATTCTTATAATCCCTGCACTTAGCAGGTGGAGGCAGGAGGATCAAGAGTTCAAGACCAGCTTTGACTACACAGTAAATTTGGGTTCAGGGTACAGTCCCGGTGTGTGCAAGTATCTCTCTCTCTCTCTCTCTCTCTCTCTCTCTCTCTCTCTCTCTCTCTCTCTCTCTCTCTCTCTCTCTCTCTCTCTCTCCCTCCCTCCCTCTCTCTCTCTCTCTCCCCCTTCCTCCTTCCCTCCCTCTGAGACAGTGTCTCCTATAACTCAGACTGGCTTTGACTAGTTGCATAAACTAGTTGCACCTTAAACTTGTGATCCTCCTGCCTCTAACTTCTTAGTGCTGGGATTCTAACATGCCTGGTTTTATGTGGTGATAGAAACTGAACCAAGGACTTGTACACTAGGTAAGAAGTCTGTTAAGTACATCCTTAGAGATCCAGAGACTTAATTCCTAATACTGCTGGGGGTTGGGGTGGGAGAGGAAAGAAAGAGAGAGGGAAGGGAGGAAGAGGGATGATAGAAGGAAAGGGATGGGAAAGAGACAATATGGATAAATAGAAGATGTGAGAAGGCAAATTGGCCTTTTAAAAACATTCATGGGGCTGGCGAAATAGCTTAGTGGGTAAAGAATGAGAACCTGAGTTCGATAGCCTGAAACCATATAAAATGATAAATGTGTTTGCAAATGCTTGTAATCCAGCACTGGGGAAGTGGAGGCAGGAAGATCCCTGAGGTTCCTTGGCAAGTTAGCCTAGCCTTGTTAGTGAGTTCCAGTCCAGGGAGAGATGCTCTCTCAAAAAATAAGGTGAAGGGGCTTGGGACATGGCTCAGCTGTTAAAGAGTGCTGGACAAGCATGAACACCCATGTAAAAGTTGGGAGCTGTGGTGCACCTTCCATAATAACAGCACTGGGGGGTGCAGACAGGATTCCAGTTGATTTTTGGCTAGTCTACTTGAAATTGTACACTCCAGATTCAGTTCGAGACTGTGTCTCAAAAAATAAAGTGGAGAGAGATAGAGGAAGACACTCAGTGTGTACCTCTGCTTCCATCTGGGTGTGTATAGACCAGGTATGTGGGCACATGCATCTACCCCACCCCAACCAGCTAGAGAGCTACTTAGGAAGGTCTCTGACCTTCACACATACATACATACTGGCACACATCTGCATGAACATGCAACACACCACAGAACATACAATAATTTATTGCCAGGCTTTTAAAAAACTTTTAGACAGGGTCTCACTATGTACCCCATACTGACCTGGAACTTAGTCCAGCCTGGCCTCAGACTCAGCTCCCGCCTCAGGTTCCTTAGTGCTGAGATTACAAGTAGTTACTAAAAGCACTGCCTAACTGATTCAAGCAATGTAAAACAGCAGAATTTACCATTTACACAAGGGCCCCATTTCTTTTCTAGGGGTTTATGATTGTGACCTAGAAAAAGAAATTCCCTTTTCTGATCTTTGCTCAAGCTAGGCTCATTCCAGACAGGCTAGAGAAATGATTTACTTTAGATAATGTCCCAGCACCAACTGATTTTACAGGTTTCTGTGCTCTCCTATCCAGTCAGTATCTCCTGTAGGGCTACGTGCCAAGACAGGGACATCTGTACAATGTCACCACTGGCTGGCAAAATGTAGACTACAAGATAGAGAGAAGAAAAAGTCTGGGGAAATAACTCAGTTGGTATAAGCTTACTATGCAAGCATGAGGACCTGAGTTTGATCCCTAAAGCCCGTATAAAGATACCTGGCATGATGGCATGTGTTTGTAATCCCAGTGCCGGGCAGGTGGAAGTAGGAGGAGTCCCAGAGCTTGCTGGTCAGTCTAACCTTATTGGCAAACTCTGGGCTAACGAGAGAGCTTGTCTCAAAGGAGTTGAATGGCATTCTTAAAGATGACACCCAAGCACTCGCACGCTTGCATGTATGCACGCACGCACGAACACACACACACACACACACACACACACACACACACACACACACACAGAAAAGGATATGGTGGCGCATGCCTTTAATCCCAGCACTTGAGAATAGAGGCGGGCAAATCTCTGTGACTTCCAGGTCAGCCATCCTTCTTAAAATAAAGGAAATAAAAATTCCCAAATTACAGAAATAAACCTTTTGGATTCTCGTTGATGTTATTCATTAACTGGTTTAGCTTTCTTCCCAGTTGTGCTTTTTTCTTTTTTCTTTTTCTAGACAGGGTTTCTCTGTGTGTAGCTCTGGTTGTCCTGGAACTCCCTCTGCAGACCAGGCTGGCCTCAAACTCAGAGAGATCTGGTTGCCTCTGCCTTCTGAATGCTGGGATTAAAGGTTGTGCCACTACCTTCTGGCTTTTTCTCACTTTTTTAACACCTAAAATATTTTAATTAGGGGAGCAGGTGTGGAGGGGAGGGAGAGGGAGCTGTGTCTGACATGGGAAGCAAGCTTGTTCCTAATTTAAATATATAATAAAAATGTAAGACTATTTTAATTACATACTATGCGTGTGTCTGCAGGTGGATATATGCATATGAGTGCGGGTCCTCACACTCTTGAACTGACAGAGACCTGCCTGCCTCTGCCTCCCAAGTGCTGGAATTAAAGGCATGTGCCACCAAAGTCCAGCTAAGATTTTTAAGATTTATTTATTATGTATGCAATATTTTGTCTGCATTCATATCTGCATGCTGTATCCCATGGAGCTGGAATTACAGGTGGTTGTTAGCTACATAACATGGGTGCCAGAAACAGAACTGGGGTCCTTAGGAAGGGGGGTCCTAATCACTGAGACATCTCGCCAGTCCTCTTTTTCTCACTTATAATGTATAATAACAAAATTGCTTCAGAAGGCTGTAGTATTATTATGTGGGTGTGTGAACATGCTTTGTAAATTATAAAATTCTAAAGCTATAATATTCAACTTGAAGGTAATTTTTAAAAACACCAAAATTTTAATTTACACATTAAGAAATGTTTAAAGTTATCGGAGTAAACTTGGGTAAGCTTAGCATGGCATTGTGGTGCACACCTTTAGCCCTTGCCTTCAGATAAAATGGCTATCTGAAATTAAGGCCAGCCAGAGGGAGTTCCAGGACAGCCAGGGCTACATAGAGAAACACTGCCTTGTAAAACACACACACACACACACACACACACACACACACACACACAAAGAAAACCTCAATAAGTTTGTAATTTGTCTAGTTGTGGGAAAACGATAAAAGGCAAAAAGATGGCTTCTTACTCTTTTCTTGCCTTTATCTTTGCAGCACGTGCCGATTGTGTCTTGTGGATTTTTTCTGGGAGCTGACTATCTGATTTTGGAGCACCAGTACCTGTTGTATTTGAGGACTTTTTCATTTCCCTAAAAGAAGTAATCTGAACACACATACATTAAGGTTTTAAGGTCATAATCCCCACATTATCACATTTGGACTAGACTCAAATGTCATATGATTGTTGTGTTAATTTTAGAACCCCTTTAAAAAGAAAGCATTGTGCTTTTAGTGTCGTTTACAATTTATATTCTTTTTATAATAAAAATACCAAGTGGTTTGTCGGAATGACAGTGAATCTATCCATAACCTCCTAACTGGCCTCCCTCTCTCCTATCTTTTTCCTCCTATTCACCCTACAGTTGAAGTTAACAGTTCTTCTTGTGACACCGGGTCGCATGTAGCTGGCCTCAATCTCATTATGTAGTAGAGGGTAGACTTAAACTGATCCTCATGTCCCAACATCCCAAGTTCTGGGATTACAGATGTTCACCACAACACCTGGCTCTTGAAGTAATTCAGGGATATTTATTCTCCTCACGAATTTTTTTTTTTACGAGACAGGGTTTGTTTTGGAGGCTGTCGGACCAGCCCAGCCTCGAACTCACAGAGATCCGCTTGCCTCTGCCTCCCAAGTGCTGGGATTAAAGGCGTGCACCACTACTGCCCGGCTTTATTTTATTTTATTTTTTGGCACAAATTCTTTAATGGCAGGAGGCACTTTGCTGACTGTGGAAACCAGGGAGTGGGGGTGGGGTGTGTTTACACATTTTCTGTAGAGTTTTTTGTCCAGTTTTTATTAAACACTTGTGAAACTTTGAGTGAATTCCTTAACCTCTTCGTGGTTCAGTGCCCCTTTGGTCATGTGAGCAGGCATGTATGACATTACTTGATTCTGCCTGTAACTTTTTCACTGTTTGAAGCATTATATTCCAGTTTGGATGAAGCTCCCAAATTCTTAGTCATATCTTCAAAATACCTTTTAAAATGAAATTGCAGTAATATGTGTCTTCTTTATGCATAAGCCAAAAATCTAATAACCATTGTACTTTTGTAGTAATGAGCATCAGTGCTATTTTTAGTTAGCTGCCGTGACTGTAAATGGTATGAAAATGTCTCTGCTTTCTATTGGTGACACTCACAGGTACTGCTAATATTGGGAGGCTTGTAGCCTACACTGTACTTGAAGGAAATGCTAAAGTTCAGCTGGAGTTTAGAGAGGGTGAAGTTGTCATTTCCCTCTTGTCCCAGTTCACATACTCCCTGCGTTAAGAGCTTCCGCTGTAATTTATCACTATGCTTCACACTTTTAAGATATTACCTTACTGATGCAGAGCCTTCAGAATCTAGTCAGTATTTCTCCTTAGGGATTGGAGTTGGGGATGGCTTGGAACGTACAGTTCTGTTGAGAAGGAAAAGAGCTGCCCTTAACATTTGGGAGTTGGTCTAGCTGAAACTTAGCATTTTCCCTTCTCCGAAGCTTGCTGATACCTACAAGTTCTGCTTAAAAAGAAAAAACCTTAACCACGAATCACTAAGCCAAAGCTCACATACTATGACAAACTTAACACTTTCTTACTGAAATGCTCCACTTTGCCCCAGATGGGCATTTTTGTTGTTTTTTTTCTCGCAGCAAACTTAAAAAAATCAACCCTAATTTCTTTAAGGACAGGTGTGTTTCTAGCAGTCTTCGGATAAGGGGATAGTGACCTTCCACGGCACAAATCTCTGAATCTTCAGGATGCCTACGTGGCTTCCATCTTCTGTTGAATTAGGACAGAAAAACGGGACGAAATACGAAATGCACCGTCTTACGGGACGCGCTAGCATTTGCTGAGGCTCGCGCAGAGATTTCCAAGGCAGACTACCTAGAATTGGATCCTAGCTTTAGATTTTCCGCAGTCTCGGACACTCGGCAATGAGAAAACCATGCCTATCCACTTGTGTGGGAGCAATAAAATTACGCGTTTAAAGCAGTGTTAAAGCTTGCTTTTTTCTGGCGAATAAATACTGTCATTTTACTTCAACAAGTATTAAATGGGACAAATATTTGATTTTCAGATTTACGCATTAGTACTTTTTTTTAAGGTCAGTTTTTCGCGATTTAAATGACGTGATGCACTTAGTATAACCTAAAATTTAACGAACATTCAGCATACGTTAAATTCTTTACGGAAAAAAACCTTTTGTGAGGTAAATCGAAGCCTCACGATCGATCTGCAGTTCTAAGAGGCTGGTGCAC